CAACTCCTTACAAATTACAAGAAATATAAATTCAATTATTCTACAAATTGTGAAACGACCCGGGTTTCGTGCAGTACGACATCATCAGATATAAAATGACATTTTCATACAGGCTAGAAAAAAAGGAGGGGAAGGGAGGGTGAAAATTAGGAGTTAATGGGACGTATCCAGGATAAAATCCAATACGGTGTGTTGTTTGGGTACTGACCAAGTGTGCTCACAAAAGGGACGTAGAGAACTTCCGATAACATTTGACCATTCCGGCAGTCCTTAGGGACAAATTGAGGTTTGTGGTTGTCCAGGAATCACAAGATACGACTGCAGGTTGAAGGTTGAGTGACAGATATTGAAAGATAGAGGTTGAATAAAAGGTTGAGGGATAGACACTGGAAGAGTGTTACGGCAGTTGTACACATTATACAAAGATATTTCAAACTCAGGATTGAGAAGTGGATTAATTCAATGGATTTCAGAATTTTGGATTGGAGATACCACTGAAAGTTATCGCACTGTATGGAAAGCAATTAAAATCCTTTGCCTGCCATAGCTATTAAAACTTGAACATAAACATCACCTGCGGAGCAGACGTGACGACTAACTGCTGTTATTCGTGCCTTCTGCGATCTGTCTGGAGCAGACAGGAAAAGACGAAAAACCATTGTAAAGGTCGCATAGCCATTCCTCTGGCAGAATGCAATGCTTAAAATTTTCAACTCGATGAAGTAATAGACAGTATGAATGAATAAACTAAAAAATATCTTTTATAGATGTGTTTTGTCATGCTAAGCTTAAAAAACTACGGAATAGAAGTAATTTACCGTAATTTACCTCTTCATTAATGGTAGTGCGAAAAAAAAATATCAAACCAGAAGTAATTTGGAATTTGTCTTAAAGTAATGAACGGGGGCGGGACATTTCGACAAACGCAAAGACGCACAGTTGACAAGCAAACAACATTTACGATCGTTAGTGTTCCTGTAACAATCGGAAGGCTTGCCTGCTCCTTTTATCAACAATTTAATACAGCAATGTAGTTGCTGCCAGCAAATACGACCATTTTTAATACCGTACATACAACGATGCAATGCCTCAAGATCATTATAAAAATTATTCCAAATAAACCACTTCTGTTCTACTAAATCCTGAAAAGGAACAGAACGATCAACTGGCACAGCAAATCATTAGTAACAGAGATTTAATATGATGAAAACACTCTAAACCAAAATATTCGCTTCCAGACTTATGAACTGCATAGACGAGTCTCGAAAGAGAAACAGTGAAAACGAGTCCTACTTCTGACATCAGCATCATAATCCATTAATATACATATATCATCTTACAAAAAGAATTACTGTAATCGCCAAATTTACGTAATTAAGTGCCACGAATATAAACATGGAAAACATGGATAGAGCCGAATGTGCTACCTTCGCCAATATGCTGTCCGATGTTAAGGTTTCTTGGACGTTTAGCAGCTCTACCTCGTCCCTTCTTGCGCCCAGCACTGCTGACCGATGTCACGCTCTTCCATAGTTGCTCGCCGGTTTCTTAAAACAAAAAATAACTTGTGCTTAAAACGACAAATACTTCGGGCATTGCTGATGTACTTTTACAGAAGAAGCTGGTGCACCGGCGCGATATTTTTGACAACAGACAGAGTGTCATAACTCGTAGAGTCCGGTTCGACTAGAACTTCAGATGAGTATATTTTTGAAGAGTAAACTGAAATCAAATTCGTCATATCAACCAACAATAATCGATTAATTAGGAAAACATGCAAAGAATATAAGTTAATATTTTTATATATAACGTATAACTGCTACAAGATCAGATACAACGTTGAGATGCGTAGCCTCCTTGATACTAGTTGTCTAGGGGAGAGGTACTTAAGCAAGACGCGACTAAATGGTATCTGAATACCTGCAGTGCTAGATACATGTTACATCCTTCTCAGTTCAGAGCAATCTTAAGCTCATCATCAACGATGTTACAGAAGATTGCGCTCCTTCCACGGTATCGTATAAACACCAAAATAGGTTCCTAGGTAACAGCATGTTACAAGGCGCGTAACTATTTTAAAATATGAACTAAACGCATACATTAGTGCGATTTGTACAATAAATATAGGTAAAATCTAATATCGCCTGTCCGAGACAACTTCTTAGCATCAACTACCTTCGGTTTAATTGGCAACATGGAGGAGCCACAGATGAACCGATCTTTCCACCATTAGCAACACGAACGGTGAAGGAGCCATCAGATTTTAATGATAGAAAAAGACCGATAAATGATATGTCTTATATAAGTTTTAGCTAATCTCAATTCAAGCCAGTCGTCAGATCCCTCCTCAAGGTCGCTCGAGAAAAGCATGGATCAGGCAATTCACTGGCCTATGCTCATGGATGTATTCTCACACAACATAGCCACAATACGTGCTTCCGATTGCAGTAACGATCCCCTCTCGTTTACCACAGAGATCATCAGAAGAACTACACAAATGTTGCAACATACATTACTATTTGTCATTAATATAGGCACATACTGATATGCTGCAGTTAATCCAATGGCTCTCCTGAAAACTAGGAACAATGGGGCAATGCATTACGCAGTGAAAACTGGTCTTACAGAAGCTTGCGCTCTCATTCATTAACTTTATTACAATAAAGTATAAATGTATAAACTAAATTCGAACGTTAACATAAGAGAAAAACTTTTGGAAACTTGACCTGCAGATGCAAATTGTGGCATAAAAATATGGATACTCTCTGGAAACAACTCAAGGTGGTAAAGCTGCTGAGGACGACGATCAATTAGGCACTGTGTGATGGACAACGATCAGCTGAGGATTTTGATTTAACTATGAAAACCTGTCATGAACGGTGAAACTTTGGCCAGCGAATGAAAGATCTATGTGAAGACATTAAACGTCTCTGAATATTTAAGGCAATCCTTCATAACGCGCACTAGCAAGACCTAAAACGCTAAGTCTGGGGCCACTACAAAAGGAATCACGAAATCTTTATATCATATCATTACACAAAGGTTCATTAACCGAAATAAAGAAGCATCACATCATATTTTATGGATATCAAGAAACGAAAACAACCATGTCAATTGAACGGTCAAGCCTTGAGAATGTGACGTGAAAATGTACCCCACAACCCGCAAACTATGCCGTTATAATCTGAACAGATGAAAGCTGCCACTGTCATTTAGTTCTGTAATGCAGCAAGAAGACAAATATTTCACCAGCTTGAAGAGGCAAATAAACTCAATAAATGTTTGTATTAATTATGCTAATATGTCTTCTGATTCCATGTTAATAAAAAGAAATGGACAAAATTAAATTGATAAACAGAAAAAATTTATTACTCCTTTAATCATGAACAGCTTTAAATACAAGCAGAACGCAGTGAAGTTAACCACCGCATTAAGCTGTTTATTTCGACGATGGGGCAGACTCAGTAACACTAACTCCTATTAAGGCCCAACACAATCATTGTCACACAACTGTGGATAAATATAAAGAATTTCACATGATCATCATAATCATGAACGATTCGATCCAGAAAGAATCCAGTGTGTAGAGTACAACGTGCTGCTTTGGATCAAACACGAGTCGTATTTATTAGCGAAGACTTGTAACTCGGGATGAATATTCCTCTCGCATTACTGATCTGCATCGGAAATTAAATATAGATATCCGTGGTTACCACAACGACCAGCACAAACTCAATATGCTACGTCGTGCCATACAAACTCAAACTTCGGTCATCGGCCGTTTTAGGGGAGTAACTAAGTCGAAAAAACTAAAGACAACTGCCTAAACCATGACTACAAACATTACCCGATCCTTCCGCCATGCACATTGTGTAGTTTAGCATTTGACAAGCGACAATGGAATTCTAACTTAACCTAAAATGATCATATATGATATACATATGAACAGATAGAAATGTAGAAGTTGCCAACATCTGGCTGCGAAACAGTCATCTAACTTCGCTCACAGATTTAGCTTTGAAAATTCAATGATTCAATATGTCCAATAAATTTGCAAAAATAACGAAAGCAGTTGATTTGGGTATTTCAACAACGATAACAGGACGACCAAACAAGATCAAGTTTACTAGCGTAGTAAAAAGACGACTGTTTACTACCACAAAAGATGCATCAGTACAAAACAAAAAGGAAGAAATACATAAACAAGCCATTATTCTACAAATCCATTTCGACCTTGTGTTCATTAAATACCATAACTCATTCATGATCGAT